ATGCGGAGCTCAAAGCAGAGCGTGGTATGAGGCAGGGCTGGTTGGGGGGCTACTGAGACTCTGGAAAGCACTTTCTCCCACAAACTATGGGGGAACTTGGATGGGAATGGGGGACCCCATCCTCCTGGGCTCCCTGGTTCAGGGAACACTTCAGAATATTCATCAGCTGGCTTGGTGTGGGCAGTAGGGTCCACCCCACTTTGCCAGGGATCTCCCCTTTAGTGCTGGGTCTTGAAGTGGTCTTGAGAAGGGGTGTGGGGAGCTCAGGCTGGAAGCTGTTTTCCCAGAGTGTAACATCTGGCCCACACAGCTGGACCTGGCCCCTCTCTTGGGCTCCCAGGACCATCTCCTGCTGCTGGGGAAGACACCCTCTTGTCCTGCAAACCCCGCCCCCACCCCCAAGCTGGCAGATTGGGTGGGTGAGGGCAACCGGCAGCCCTAAGATGAGGCGCTGCTTCCCACAGGCAACTCCAACCTGGTCTACGCCATCATCCGCAAGCGCAGTGTCTTCCACCAGCTGGCCAACCTGCCCACTGACCTGCCCGCCATCCACAAGGCCCTGCAACGGCGACGGCGGACCCCCGAGCCCTTGTCCCGCACTGGTTCCCAGGAGGGTGCCTCCATGGAGGGTTCCCGCCCTGCTGCCCCCGCAGAGCCGGGCACCCTCAAGACCAGCCTGGTGGCCACCCCAGGTTCGTCACTGGCAAGTGGGAGAAGGTGTGGCTACTGGCATGGTTGGGGGATGGGCGTGATCTCTGGGGTGTCACCCCATCCTGGCAAAGGACATGGCCCCTGCTGGGAATCTGCAAGGTGGGGAAGGGGAACGGCAATGAGGGTGGAGGCACTGGGTTGGCCCCCAGAGGGTGGCCTGGTGGCTGTGGGGCTTCTGGATGGGAGTGGGCTCTGGGAGGGGTGGGCACAGGGCTGGGACCAAGGGAGATCAGACACAGTGCCTCTACAGCATGTGGAGGACAAGGAGCTACCTGGGCCAGGCCAGAAGGAGCATGTGGCAGGGGCCCTCACTCTCTCCTGTGTTCCCCCTGTGCCCGACCCAGGCATAGACAAGCTGACAGAGAAGTCCCAGGTGTCAGAGGATGGCACCTTGCGGTCCCTGGAGCCTGAGCCCCAGCAGAGCTTGGCAGAAGGCAGCCCAGCCAAGGGGGTGGGTAAGGGGGCAACAGGGGCACGGGAGGCAGGTGAGGCTGGGCGTTGCCTTCCTCCCTGGCCTCTGTGGCATGGGCTGGGCCAGGGCACTCTGGGGTCACCTGTAGCAAGTGTCATGCCTAGGGCATCGGGGTTGGCACTGATGACTGGGGGGGGGGCCTTCACAGACCCCTCCCTTGTTTACTGGTCACAGTAAAGCCCTGGCTGTCAGCCTTCTCATCCATCAGCCTTATCTGAGGCTGGCCTTTACCCGTCCTGTCCCATCAGCCTCTAGTCCTAAACCTGTCACCAAGCTGGGTTGGGCCTGGGGCCCAGAGCAAAGGGTGCTGGGCTGGGCCTACCCTTCCTTTGGAAGCAAGTCCCCACGAGGTCTAGGGGAGAGACCTCATTGCCCTGTGCCCCTGCTCCATATCCGCTCCCTTGCCCCTCACTTCCATTCCTCCCTGGGCACCAGGAGTCCAGCCAGGCATGGAGGGAGCAGCGTCGACTGTCCAGCTCATCAGCCAGTGGCCAGTGGAGCCCAACGCCGGATTGGGTGAGGAGCAGGGATGGTGTGTGGGCAGGTGGCCCTGTGGGAGCTGAGTCAGGGGTCCCCTGAGTCTAGGGACAGCTCGGTACAGATGGAGATGAAAATGTATCCAGACGTGCCTCTGGCATGGGAGCTGGGCTCTGGCTCCGGGTCAGTCCTTCCAGCTGGTGACCTTCCTCGTGTGTGGCCTCTCTTGGCTCAGCTTCCCCTGTCTACACTGTCGGCMGAGTCCCCAGCAGGATCAGGTTCCACTGTGCTGACTGTCTGAATAAATCACCCTCTGATTTCCTCCCCGGGATCACTTCCCACTCACATTCCCACTGAAGGCAGAGCCATGGGATAATAAATGTCCTCCCTGCTCCCACCATTGCCAAGGTTAAAGGCGACAGTCTCCTGAAAGGCACACACACAGCCACCAGCCGGTGGGACTGCTTAACATGCAAAAGGCTCTTGCCATTAGTGAGAGTTCCTGTTCATGGTCCCTGCTGGGAGAGAACCCCTGGCTCCGGGTCCCCAGCCCCAGAGCTCTGTCCCTGCCCCAGGTCCTCTCCTGGAAGTCGAAGCTGCCCTTGCAGACCATCATGCGGCTGCTGCAGGTGCTGGTCCCCCAGGTGGAGAAGATCTGCATTGACAAGTGAGAGCCTGGGCAGGCTCAGGGGCTCGGGCAGGTGGGCTTTGGCAAGGGGCCAGCCCAGGTTTGGGTGGAGGGGTGACAGGGACGGTGGGCCTCAGAGGTCCAGGGTGAGCCCCAAGCCCTGCTAGTCCACTTGAGCATGCTGGAGACCCCCTTCTCCCTGTAGGGGCCTGACGGACGAGTCAGAGATCCTGCGGTTCCTGCAGCAYGGCACCCTGGTGGGACTGCTGCCCGTGCCCCACCCCATCCTCATCCGCAAGTACCAGGCCAACTCGGGCACCGCCATGTGGTTCCGCACCTACATGTGGGGTGTCATCTACCTGAGGTGGGCCCTGCTTCCTATCCTGGGTGGGTCTGGGGTCCACCAGAGAGCCTGTCCAGCAGGGCTCAGCAGGGACCTTGGCTCCGGGTCTCCCCATCACAGAGGGGTTAATGTCAAGACAGTCAATCATGGTGGTCTTTCCTGGCTGAGGGTTGGACCCCCTGTCCAGGGGGGACATCACGAAGAGGGTTTGGTTTGRGCTGGCTGTCACCTTGCATCTCCCTTCCTTGTGAAGGTGACAGCCCACTTCCTCTGCAGGAATGTGGACCCACCCATCTGGTACGACACCGATGTGAAGCTCTTTGAGATCCAGCGGGTGTGAGGATGGAGGCCTGCAGAGAAATGGAGTGGGAGCCCCTGGTCCCTATTGCTCCCCCTGCCCCAGTCTTCTGAGCTTTAAATGACCACCACCATGGCCCGGGGTGGGCAGAGTGGCCAGGTCCTCCTGGGTGGCAGGCCCCAGAGGCTCCTAATGCCTGGGGAGGGTGGAGCCCAGTTCTAACCCCCTTCTCCCCAKACGGGTCTCCTAGGAGCCCCTGCCTCTGTGACTACAGGTCCTGCCAGAGCCCCTCCCTGCTCTGGCTCCCTCTTCAAGACACATTTCTGTGCTGACCCCTCAGTGCCTGCACACTCCTGTGCTGCCCCACAGGTCACTGTGCCCTGATGGGTTTGCCCAAGGAGCCGTGGGCTGTCCTGAGGCACCTGGGCAGGTCTAGGGGAACCCTCCTGGCCTTCTACCCTGAAACCACGTGTTCTAGGCCGGATCTCTGCCAGGGCCCACAGGAAAATGGGGTGTGACCAGGCTGTTGGCTGAGGGGGCTGGGGGCTGGCCGACTACAGAGCCAGACTGGGGGCTCTTGTGGGTTTTAGGGGTTTGGAGTGGGGTATTGAGGGTCCCCTTAATATTCCCTGGGTCAGTGGATACAGCCTTGCTGTTGGGCAGGACCAGGGGGCAGTTGTCAACCCTACCTGCCCCACTCACTGTGTGGAGGATGGGGGTGCCACCACTCCAGCGGCCCCCGCTCGGGCCTCTGGGTCTCCCTCGCCCCACCTGGTCAGTACAATCTTTGCTCTGTACAATCAGCCACTCTACACAATAAAACCTCCCTCTCCAGCCTCTGCCTCTGTGCTTGGGATGGGGGTAGGCGCCAGACTGTGGCCCTTATCTTCAGGGCAGCTGGGGACTCTGTACCCCAGAGTCCGTCCCCTGAGGGTTCTTAACAATGACTAGGAACTGGCATTTGTCATTTCGAGTGGGAAAGTAGGATTGGGCCCTGTCAAGTAGGGTTTAGGCCCTTGAACTGTGGCTACCCAGAGAAAAGCCCACGCAGGAGAGGCTGAGGGCCTGATTCTCAGCCCCCTGGGTGGCCCCAGGCAGTGTTGGGGGGCCCTGGGGCATTGTTTGCTGGTGCCTCACTTCCGGGGAGTGGGAACCCAGGGGAGGGTTGAGCCTCTGGGCCTCTCCCTGGGCATAGCCGGCTGTTTGCACTGGGCTCAGGGAGATGGATGGGCTGTCAGGCCTGCCTACTCACTCACCTTCCTGTTCCACCTGATGGCTCAGGGGGCCAGGCAGGCCTGAGGACCAGCCGCCAGAGGCTGCAGTGACCACCTGTGATGAGCCAGCAGCAGAGGGTCCCCTGGAGGCACTGTCCTAATGGTGGAGGGTGGAGGGTGGGTACATGAGCCCTGGGTTGGATCAGAGAAGGGAAGGAGTGGACGGGCCGGGAATGGGTCTGTCCGGGCCCACAGGAGGACCATCCTTCCAACCATGCCTGGAGTAGCAGTTCTGTCCCCAAGAACAAATGCCACGAAGCTCAGAAGTGATCGATCAAACAAACAGGGTTTATGGYAGCAGCAGAGAGCTGTTGAACCCCACCTGGCAGTTAATTAACGAGCTCATTAGGAGACGGGGTGTGTGGGGAGGGGCGGGGCTGCCTGCCAGCTCTGAGCTTGCAGGAGGTCCTGGGCCACACTCAGGCCGTGCACCCCTCCCAGGGGAGGAAGCAAACCCCTGGAGGCCTGGCTGGGGAGGGGCAGCCCTCTCCAAAGCCCCTAGACTGTGTTAGTTAGGACCGGCCCTTCTCAAGTGTAGCACGGGGCCTCACCAGCCTCCTGGGGTATACCCTTGGCTGCAAGGACTGGTGAGGCAGGGGCTGCCATGTGTACAGGCCTGGACGTGGGCATCTGAAGATCAGTGTCCAGATTCTGCCCTTGGTCTTGAGCTATAGGCAGTCTTCTCCAGTCTTCAAGTCTTGGGGAGGAGAGGGCTTTGGGAGCCCCAGGCTGGTCTCTGCGCCTTGGAATGAAGCATCTTCCCAGAGACTCCAGGTTGGCATCTCCCCTGCCTTGGCACTTCAGGGTTTTGCTGAGGGTGGTTTCCTGGGGCAGCCTCAGGCCCCCAAGTAAACCTCCACCAACCCTCCCACAGAGTGCATGCGGTAGAAGACCCCCAGAGGCAGGCCAAAGTTGACGATGGTGAACCACGTCCGGTAACCGTAGAAATCCTTTTCCAGCCCATTCTCAAATTCTGGGTGTATGCCAAATGCAGGCATCATCCATAGCTGGCGGGAGGGAGAGGGGGTTGTTGAGTGGGGGAGGGTTCTGCCACATCCCAAGTGCTCAGCTCCCTTGGTTCCTTTGGCCCTGCCCCACCCCATCAGCCTTGGGCTTTGGGAGCAACCTCCTCTGCCCCCATGTCCTCCTGTTCTCATTCCACAGAAGCCTGAGGACCCCCTCATTGGCTTGTCTGGGGCCAACCTGAACTCCAGATGCATCCTGAGCCCCGGGGTAGCCTCCATACATGACGTGGCAGGAATTCCCAGCAGGCAGCCTGGGGACTCCCCTGTACCCTGAGCTCAGGCTTCACTCTTCTGCAGTTACAGCCAGCCCCTCCCCTCCCACCCTCCTGATCAAATTCTACCCATTCCTCAAGCCCCAGATCAAACCTCCCTGAAGCCTGCCTTGGCCACTCGGGCCCATGCTTTTTTTTTTTTTTTTTTTTTTTTACTGAGCTCCTAACGTACTTTAGAGCCAATTTATTACTTGTTCTCTCTATGGACCAGGGGGTCTCATATCTGGGGTGTTTTCAGGGCATCAGGGGTTGGGGACAAACAACCCTGCCACTTATAGGACCTTTGGCAGGTCAAACAACCTACACCCTGGTCTCTTCATCTGTCCAGCGGGGACAGTAACAGTGTCTTTTGTGTAGGGTTAAATGTGAAGATGTTGCATGGAGAGGTGGCCCTGGAACTTAGCAACCACTAGAAGCTAAGCAATTGTCACCACTGACTTTAATTAGAGATTTAAAAAAAAWTTTTTTTTTGGTAGAAAATCAGACACTTGCACTTGCTGAGCTCTTCTTTTGACCAAATATAGTGAATGATGAGTTCAGCAGTGATTTTCTAATCGGTCCCCTGGTTCTCTCCAACTAGACAGGTAAGTTTCTGGAAGGCAGAAATGTTACCCATGTGTAAGGAGAATTCGCTCTCTGCTCGGCACAAGAGCTGGGGTTGACACTCCCTCTTGTCAAGCATCATCGTTCTAGTTAGAGAGAAGCATGTGACCTTGATGCATCACTTCTTGAGTCCTGAATCTACCTGCCACTACCACACCCRCCCCAGTCCCAGCCCAGCCACTCACCGTGATATTGCAGAGGATGAGGAAGAGTGAGATCTCCTTGAGAATCCTACGCTTCCAGTTGAGGTGGTTGTAGGAGTGGATATAGGCCAGGGAGGCCCTGCGCAGGTCCTGGCCCAACTCGAGCAGGGAGCCCCTGCGGGGAGGCTCGGCCTCGCACTTCCCTGCGGGGCCCTCCGGAGGCACCTCCCAGAGCGGCCGGCGGTGCAGGCCCTCGATGATGAARAGGTTCTGGGCGATGTGCTGCAGGATGAGCAGCAGCGAGTAGGCCAGGATGAGCCGGTTGAGCAGCTCTTGCGGGTGAGTGGCCACAATGGCCACGATGGAGAAGTAGGCAATGCCCACCTGGCCCAGCGCRGCGCCCATCAGCAGCACCACGTCCAGGCTGCGGGTGGGGTTCTTCAGCGTGTCCAGCTCCCGCTCCTCCAGCCCGTGGATGGCCGTGCCCGCCAGGCACGCCAGGCTCATCGCGGGCAGCACAGCCACGTAGAAGGCGTAGTACAGGGTGAAGTACTGGCGCGCGATGGCCGGGCCGCTGGCCTCGATCTGGAAGAGCACGAAGACGCACACGCCGGCCACCAGCGCCAGCAGGCCCAGCAGCGGCCCGAAGATGGCCCCGTGCAGGTGGAAGGGTCGGGTGCCGGGGCGCGGGCCCGCGTGGGCTGCCAGGCGGCGGCCCACGTTCCTCCACATGACGAAGAGCACGGCACAGCAGATGAGGCAGTACTCGGTGCTGAAGGGGTAGAGCATCAGGTAGCCCTTCYGGAAGACCTCGCACACGGTGGCGTTGAGGCACAGGCAGGTGTTGGTCTCGTTGCCTGGGAGGGGGCGGGGCGGAGGGGCAGACTTCAGGAGGGGCCGGCTCCCAGGTCGCAAATCACTCCTGACCCCCTTTTGGAACATGCCAGAGGTAGAAGGTTCCCAGCCAGCTGCTCATTTTACAGTTGTGGAGACTGAGACCCGGACACAGAAACTGGAAATCCCAGAACGGTCTTTCTTTCCCAAAGGTCAGCCAGGAGCCAAGCTTAYGTAAAGCATTTTAAACAGGATTCCTGGTGCCAAATGTCACCCCACRAATTGCTTGCCGGGCAAGGCAAACCTGTAATTTACATCGGAGGACCTGGCTGCCCCACCTGAGCCCAGATCTCAGCCTCAGCAACACACGCTTGGATGACAAGGACATCAGTGTCCTGGGAAAAGTGCCCTTCAAGACACACAGCATCATGGCCAGGGAAACGCTGGTGCTAAAAATAACTAACGTGAATGGAACTCAGACTTTGGTCTATACTTCCAATTTTTAGGAGAAGCAGGGGAGAGGGGAACAAATTAAACGCCTCCCCTAGGAAGCAACTGACAAATATCAATGTTATTAGGAAAAAGGAGACGGAAAGTGTCAACCCAACCCCTTGCATATATGAACCAATGTCAGGAAAGACATTTCCTGAATTGGTTGGAGAAAGTGGAATATCGATCAATAAAGAGGATCATCAGGAGGATGAAAAGGAATTTTGTTGGCAATTACACTAGCATGTGGTAATAAAGGGAAATACATTTATTTTTAGAGAGGTGCATACTGAAATGTTTTGAGATGAAATGACACSATTTCTGTAATTTACTTTCTGTACTTTTGCAAAAAATAAAATAAATGTGGCAAAATATTGATAATTGCTACATCTCCATGATGGCTGTTCTTCAACTCATCTGTGTATTTGAGATTTTTTTTTTTAAATATTTTTTAGTAGGGCTGGGATTGTGGCTCAGTGGTAGAGCACTCGCCTAGCACGGGTGGGACCTGGGTTCGATTCTCAGCACCACATAAAAATAAAGGCATTGTGTTGTGTCCATCTACACCTAAAAAATAAATATTTAAAAATATTTTTTAGTGTTGATGGACCTTTATTTTATTCATTTTTTAAATATGTGGTGCTGAGAATTGAACCCAGTGCTTCACACATGTGAGGCAAGTGTTCTACTACTGAGCCACAACCCCAGCCCCAAGAGATTTTTTTTTTAATAATAAAAAATCCATGATGTGCTTGCCTCAAATTCTCTTTGCACAGATTTTCTGAAAAATGTCAACAGACTGTGGACATGCCCACAGCATCCAGGCGTGCCATGATTTATGCAGTGGGTGTGTAAATGACTGTGCGGGGGCAGGCTGGGCTGTGGTCAGGGTGGGGAGTAGACTCACAGGTGTGGCCGAATCCCACGGATTGCCAGGTTCTCATGGGGTTTATGGGATACGGCTTCTAAGGTGAACTGTACAGAGAACTGGGCAAATGGGACAACCCAGGGAGGTTTTTTTTTTTTTTTTTTTTCTGCCCACAAATATTCCATCCCTCATGATATACCTAGATACCTAAAATTATATTAAGAAAACATTTCTTTCAGGCCCCCCCCACCATTTTTGTAAGTGAAATGCAAATACCACGGGTGGGGTGCATACCTGAAGGACTTCTCAGTGACTAGCCCAGCCAAGGATTAGTGGCTAGCTTACACAGGGCACCAGGTCCTGACGAGCACCAAGGTACCCAGGATACACTGCAGTTTTCTCTCTAATCATTATCTGGTCTCTAGAGTCGGCTCTAGCTCTACAACTGCTGAGCCTCCCTGGCTTGGGGGAGCATAGTGTGTGTGTGTGTGTGTGTGTGTGTGTGTGTGTGCGCGCGCGTGTGCGTGCAAGGCTCTGGTCTCTGTACCTGAGAACTTCTCCACGAGGGCGTTGAGCTCAGCCTCAATCTCGCGGTGCATGGAGTCATTGGTCACAGCCAGAATCCACAGCAGCAGGTTTGTGGCCAGCGTCAGCATCAGGCCACACCTGGAGGGAGGYCACACTCTGCTCACAGCGGTCTCCCCGGGTGCCCAGTCCTCACCATAGACTGCGTGAGGGTGACCATTCGGTCTCAAAGCCTGATCCCATGTGACATTAGGACTTCAGGAGCACCCAGCATAGGGACCACTGGGATGAATCCCAGACCAACCCACAGTTTCAGGTCCTTGCTGTGCAGGGAGGCTGTCGTGTGTGGGGGTCGGTGGGGGGCACAGAAAACACTGCAAGGCTTTGCGGGGAGAGAAATCTTACCTAGTGAGGTTGGTCTGCACCTGAACGCAGTCCTTACAGTGTTTCCAGAGCACCCAGGTCTGAAAGAGACAGGACCTTGAACCCAGGGGCTGGTGGGGTAGTGGCGCCATGGTGTGGATGCCCAGCTGCTTGTGTGTATTTGCCATGGAAGACACAGTGAGGAAGTGTGGGCTAGAGTCCTGGCTCTGCCATTTCTTTGCTGTGTGGTATTGGGCCAGTGGCAAAACATCTCTGAGTATTAATTGCTCCAGCTCTAAAAAAGGGCCAAAATGCCCACTGTTATAGAGAAATGCCTACTTGGTGGGGGGAATAAAGGAGGTGATGTAAATGCAGCTCCCCACACAAGGCCTGGCGCACAGGARAAACTCTAGAGAGAGTTGGATGCCATTATGAAGGAGGCTTGTGTATCTGAAGAGTGTCCACGAAGGCACATGCCATGTGCTGATGTGGGTGTGTGGATGTGGACAAGGGCGTGGGTATCCTTGCAGGACTGTGGTGTGTGTGTCTACACCCTGGGTCTACACCATAGGTATTACCTATGTGGCTGTTTCTGGTATAATAGGTGTGTATGTGTGCTTTGGCCTGGGTGGGTAGGGTATGTCCCCAGGAGGTCTGTCACCTGGACGCCCATGAACATGATCTCGATGACGGGGAAGATAAGCTCCAGCTCTGACTTGCAGTGGATGTGGCTCATGTCGTAGCCCATGCGGAAGACGTTGAGGCAGATAGTGCAGCTGCCAAAGAGCACCAGGGAGCCTGGCCAGGCCAGGTGGGCATTGGCATCTTCCCCAGGACCGCTCTCCCTCCGGGGACATTTCCATCCACCCAGCACCCTGGCACTCACCCCGAACCCAAATGGGTCCCGCGTGAGGGTCCCGGTGGAGCACTGCGTGGGGCCGCCGCGTGGTGCCTGCGGTGTAGTAGAGGAGCCAGAGGAGGGACAGGGCCTTCAGCACGGCCAGCAGGATCCACACGTCGCCCAGAGTGACCGCCACGTTGTTGAAGATCATACTGCAGATGAAGGCCCCACCCAGGAATACCACGTTGAGGGCCAGCAGTCCTGAGAAGAGCTGCCCGGCCTTCTGGGCCTGCCGGTCCCGCCGCAACAGCAGGGAGAAATGTCGCACCAGCCAGGACTTCTGCTGGGGTGCACCGGAGGCCCCTGTCTCCTCTGCCCCCACGTTCCCGTGGTGCTCCTTGGCTGGGCCCGCTTCATTCTCCTGCACTTCTGCAGAGGGCATGGGTGGAGCCTCAACAGGAGCTGGAGAGGGACAAAGGGACCTGGGTTGGTTGTCAGGTTGACATGGGTTCCATTTCCATCCTTGTCCCTAACTGCTGTGTGACTTAAGGCAAGTTATTCAATCTCTGTGACTGGGACACTGAGAATAATAGCAGCTGCCCATCTATGTTATGGGACCCAAGGAGGTTGAACCAGACCAGGGAGAGGGAAATGCTCTGTGTTGGACATAAATGTAGGGGATTATGTCTACTGGCTGGAGGACTACCTCCCTCACCCCTGGCTGGGCTGCCCTACTTCCTGATTCAGTATCAAGGAAACCAGGGACATCTGTATAGTGCCTGGCCTGGGTACTTCCCAGGGCTATGGCTTTTCATGAACAAAAGGCAGCTTGCACCCCGCTAACTTCTGGGAGGAATTTCATTCCTGAAACTAGGGAGCACAAGCAAGTGTCTTCTCTGCTTAGTTGGGCTATGATTGCCTGGTGTTGTGTTGAGAAGGATCCTGAGGTTGAATCTAGGCTTGGTAGGAAAGAATGCTCTGATCTGAAATAATTTTCTATTGTGGGCACATGGACATATATAAATGAGTTTTGTAAGGTCTAGAAGATGCCTACTGGGTTCACAGTAGGAGTTCCTTCTGGAGACGAGATCAGGGAACTGGGATGGAAGTGGTAGGCTTTTCTCTACATTTAATATTCTAGTTTTTTAAAATGACACATTATTGATGTAATTAAAATTATTTTTAAAGCATATTGAGTTGGGCGGCAGTTCTAGGATTRATTTGTAATGTCTGTCAAGTACATAGGACAGGCCAGGATCAGCATGGATGCCATGCTCTTGACTTTGCCAGAACTGACTTCCGTCTGTTCCTCCTCATCTCTCCTAGCTGTCCCATGAATATCCAGCCTGACTTGGGACACTATTCTTGGCCTTCCTCCCTCCCCGAATATCTCTGGCCACTTCTTCACCTTCCCTGAGCTTTCACTCAGGACAGCTACTTTGTCACCACCAACTTGGGCCAGATCTCAGGACACCCAATTCCTGCAGCTCTGAGCCCAGCCTACCTGCCCCTTTGGGCATTCTTCCCAGTGGGACTGAGCCATGGTCGAGAGCAGGGATGATCTTGCTGCTTCTGCATGCTTTCCTGGTGGCTGGGCTTCTGCAGGTGCTCTGGGTTCGGGGCTCTGAGTGCACACGGCCCCATTCTCCTGTTTCCTAACATTCACTAGCTCATAGTGGTGTCCCCATCCCTGCATTTCCTGATGGAGAAATGGGCACCCCCTTGCCTCTCCCCTTTCCCTCACCTCTCCACAGGTGCCGAGCCTGTCCATTCCAGCTCCCACACTCCTTGGTTTTTCTCAGCCCCAACCACTACTACTCTATTTAGAGGCCCCTCCACTCTCTCCTGCACCTGGCCTTCCTGCCCATGGTGCCTGTCCATACTGACAGCCCTGCAGAGGCAACCAGTTGCCCTTAGTGTAAAGTCCAAAGCASCAGCCGTGGCCTGAATGGCCTTTCAGAGCCAAATGAGACAGCAGGTGTTTATATGGGCCTGGTGCACAATGCACTCAAGGCGGAGCAGCCATTGTTATTTCCTGGTCTAGCCTCAACTTACCTCTCAAGCATGGTCCTCCGGCCCCACTCCCCTGCTCACAATCTGAACCATCCTGCTGCAATTCCCAGAATGCTCTCTGCTCTTGCTCACCTCCTTGTCTCTGCCCACACCTGGCCCTTTGCCTCCAATGCCCATCCCTCTTGCCCCTTGGTGACGACAACTTGTCTTTCAGGACTCAGCAAAGACTTACCTCTGCTATGTGGCTTTCCCCGACCCGTGCTCAGGCTGGGTGAGGACCGCTCTTAGCACTCCCACCCACCCCTGTGGATTGCTGGCACATCACCCAGCATGCTCTATCTGAATTAGCCCTACTTTTTTCTGTCTTTCCCTTGAGACCCTGAGCTTCAAGAGCTTCAGTCTTTTTCTCTGCACAGATTCAGGAGATCTTCACCACACTGGGCTCTACAATGTAGCCTCTCTGGGTCCCCATTCTCCTACGTACACCCCCAGCAATATCACACCTTCTGCTCTGCTCTTCTGAAGCAAATGGAATACTAAAACTTTGGCCTCTTTTTGAGATTTTACAAATGATTTTCTCCCCTCTCCAAGTCCATTCTGTCATCGTTGGCTAAATTCACCTACCTGTTCAGGTCCKTGGTCACACTGAGTACCTGCCCTCCACATGTGTCCAGGCCCAGGTGAAGGCTCCACATTTCTTTTGTGGTGTCTTGGCTTCTGCCAGCCCTCCTGGAACGGCTGTGTCTCCTGCCTCCCTGCCAGCTCCCACCCGTGGCCCTCCTCCATCCTCTTCACCCCTGGAAGCCTTCCCTCTTGCCCCAGCTGTTGGTGGCTGTTTGCTAGGTGGCCACTCCTCTCTGTCAAGAGTTTGTGTGCACTGTCAGGCATGCTATGAGTACCCTCAAGGTCAGGAGCTCCTCCAGGGTAGAGACCAGTCTTACTTAACTCAGATCCCCCCAAATCTAGCACAGTGACAATGGAGTTTACAGGAAGCTTGCAGCACCAGAGCTGTGGACAGAGACCCTCCCCATTTAACCCATTCCATCCCAATGTTGCCCTAGCGGCTTCCAGATGATCGTTATCTTTTCCTCCCAGGCTCCCCCGCCCAGACTGAGTAAGGCAGGGGCTCCCTGGGACACCTCCCTGCTCCTTTTCTGYCAACCCTGGCAGCTCCACTTCACCCTTCCCAGAACCTGCCAACCCCTCTGTGATCTGGTTATTCTAATGTTGAAGAGCTCAGATTCTGGCATTTTCTACCTTTGTGATCTTGGATGAGCTATTTAGACTCTCTGTGYCTCAGTGTCCTCGTCTGTAAAAGGAATATACAACTATGGAGTAGTAGCACTTGGTGCACAGGAGATGAGCAGTGATTTCTTGGATGAATAAATGAAGGAATTAATGCATAAAGCCTCTGTCACAGGGGTTTTGTTAGAATTAAATGATTTAATACACACAAGTAGACGTAGAGCAGAGGATGGCTCAGAAAGCCCTCTGTGTTAGCTATTTGTGCTTTTTCTTACAGTTATTTTGGGGTCCTGGGGAAGAGAATTTCAGGAGTGGTTTTTGCTGGGACTGCAAAAACAGAGGGGACACTGATTCCTGGTCCTCTCCCTCAGGGCTTTCGCCCTGGGAGTACCTCGTCCCTTAGCGTTTAACACTCCAGCAACTGCAGAAGGGAACTATCTAAGGGATGAGTTAGGTTCACCTGCTGGGCAGGGTGCGGTGGTGGGCAGGTAGGGGTCACGCAGGGACCCAGGGAACCAGTGCGCTTGGAACTGACAAGGACTCTGCCGCCCCCTGGCTCGCTCTTGGCTSGACGCCAGTCCAAGGGAGGGCCAGGACATCAAACTGGTTTATGGATGGAGGTAAGAGGCGGGCRATGAAAGCCGCAGAACTGCCCGAGCCACGGGACTAAGAGCATAGGACCAGCTCCAGAGGAGGTTGCTGAGAGTGGGCATGGATGCTTTGGGATTTCTTTCCCGGCCATTCCAGGGACTGCAGGCCAGGGGCAACGGCTACCGACGTGCTCCAGACCCCAGGCAGCTCTGATCCCATACCCCTTTAACCGCYTATCCASGTTTCTTGCTTCTTCCTGRCCTCSGCGCCCCCTTTGAGCTGTGCGGAGCGCACCCTCCTGATCCCTGTGCGCCCCAGTGGGCGGAAAGGGGGTGGGCGCAGAACCCGAGTTGAGGTCTCAGGCAGAGAGGGGCTAACCTCTGGGGGAAAGGAATCACCGCTCCCGGGTCGCCCTGTCCTCTCGCAGCAATCCCTGCAGCACCTAGTTCCTGAACCCCGCTTTGGAAACAGAGGGTGCCTAAGTGTCAGGGCGGGTCCAGCAGGAATGTTCTACCAGCGGTCGGAGGGCGCTGCGGTGTAGCTACGGCCCAGGGAGCCTTACCTGAGGACTGGGCAGGCATCGCCGCGGGCCAACCACCAACTGGGGCACAGCGCCGACCTTCCGTCCAGGTGAGGTCCAGCGCTCGCGACCGATGCCCTCCCCCCGCGGGAATGCGCAGCCGCCGCTCAGGCTCCACGGCTCATCGATTTTTCTGTTGACTTTGGGAATCTCATTAATCCCTCATTAATTACTTTTCCAGGGGCTCAAGCCCAGACCAAGGAGCCAATAGCGAGGCGGCTGGACYGGAGGGAGGGCCGGGAGGAGGTACACGCGCGGGAAGGCAGGGTCACCAGCCGGCGAACCGGCCTTGCGATCGCAGCCTGCCCTCGGGATGGGTGGAGTGGGGAACAACGTCCTTAGATCCTCAGTAAAGGGTTCAGGACACATTTTCCTCTGGTGGCCAAGTTGAGACTGGGACCATTGCGTCCCAGGTCTGGGGTCACGTTTTTCCTGGACCCTACTTAGTTAGCATCAGGCCCTCCTGTGGCCCACTTTGCAGGACCCTCCCTCTTCCTTAAAGCAAAAGCGAACTTTGGGCTGAAGACACCCAGACAAAGCTTCATTCTGACTGGGCAGGAGGCGCGATAGGAGGCTGGGGAGAAGGCAGCCTCTTGCGCCCTCTTCGTTTCTGGCTGTGGCCTCTGAGAACCACTGGGCTAATCCTGCAGGGTCCAGGCAGCATTCCTCTGATATCCCCTGTGCTCCAGAAGCCACTGCTCCCACAAATGCCATGTTCTCCCTTCCCAGCCCCCAGCTCAGCCATGGCCCCCAGTCTCTCTGGCTGGGAGGTCAGGGTTTCAGTCTCTAACTCCTCTGGTCTGCCTGCCTTCCTTCCTTCCTTCCTTCCTTCCTTCCTTCCTTCCTTCCTTCCTTCCTCACTCGGTCTTTTTCTTTCTACTGGCGATGGAACCCAAGGGTGTTCTACCACTGAGCTACATCCCCAGCCCTTTTTATGTTTTTTAATCTTGAGATAGGGCCYTGCTAAATTGTCCAGGCTGGCCTTGAACTTGAGATCCTTCTGCCTCAGCCTCCCCAGTCGTTGATATTGCAGGTGTGTAGCACCATCCCTGGCTACCCCTWTAGCCTTTGGCAAAGTAGACACCCTAACTCTCCGGAAGCCCTTCAGAGACTCCTGTGGAGAGAGTGGGTTTAAGGAGATCCAAGGGTGGGGACCCGACTTTCCCAAAGTCCTCCTAAACTAGAACCAATCTGTTTATATCTGTGTTATAAACTTGAGTTCCTGAGATTCCTAAAACATTTTGAGGGGAAGAAATGTTGTGCTGTTTATGGTTAATGGCTATAGGTGATTCAGTGGACAGGAAGGATAACTTCTAGTGGAGACCAGTAGCACAGTAGAGTAACTGATTCATAACAAATCATTGAGTCTTTCCAAATAGGAGAAAAAAGGATTTTGAATGCTCCCAACACAAAGAAATGATAAAGTGTGATAGGATGGAGGTACCAAGTTCCCTGATCTGATCATGACACATTATATACATGTACTGAAACACCACACTGTGTACCACAAACACATACAATCCTATGTCTCAGTTAAAAATATATTAATAAAAAGATCTGCTTGAAAAARGTTTGAAAATTATTCTTCTTAGTAGAAAGGCTTTGGCTCTCCAGTTATGCAACCTTGGGCAAGTCCCTTTACCTCTCTGGGCCTCACTTTCCTTCTTTGTAGAATGTGGACATTGGACTGAGTAGTGCCTCACCTTTCTGGTGGCTAGAGACACATAAAAACATTATTGCATGTGTATGTCACCTGAAGATAAAGAAAAGAGGAAGGAGGCAGCTTGAGAACGCCATCCAAACCCATCCCCACCACCACCCCGTTACCCACTGCTTAGATGGCCTGTAACTCAGACTCAATTCACCCGGTGAAAAGTTGGAGGCCTGAAAATCTCAGGTTTTCCCGCTCTGTCTGCCAAGTTTCTCTCCTATGACAACTTCAGATGGGGCAGCTGAGACAAGAAGTAGGGGACCGGATAAATGGCAGGTTTATTGGTTCCCAGCTCCAGACAATGGACTGGCCAGGCCACAGGCTGGGATTAGGGATGGAGCCAGAGCTGGCACTTCCAGATTCTGCCTGATCCTAGGACTTCAGGGAAAGGCCCCTCCTCCACCACTGCCCGAGGCCCCAGGATCATGCCAGGGGTGAAAGGGCATGTTCTGATTGTGATTTAAAAACTCATCCTGAAAAAATAAATTTTTTTTTTGTGTGTGTGAAAATTCCACTCTGGAGCCAGAGGGGTCTGGTGACTATGACTCCCACTCTAGAGTTGATTCCAGAGGAGCTCTGGACATATGAGCGGATCCCCATCCCCCAAGTCTCTGTCCCAGGCTTCAGGACAGCACGTAGACCTCCAGCAGGCTGGAGACAGCGTGCATGCGGTAGAAGATCCCAAAAGGCAGGCAGATGTTGACGATGGCCGCCCAGAGAGAGTAGCCGTAGAAGTCCACCTCCACGGTATTGCTGAAGTGAGGGCGGGCCCCGAAGGCTGGCATGATCCACAGCTGTGGGGAGAGGGGCACATCAAGGACTGGCCTGGAATGCACCTGCTGGTCATTTCTGTGGGCTCTGTGGAGTATGAGAGGATGGGGACCCCAGCCTTCTAGTTTGGTAGACATAGAGGGCTGGGTGTCATCCAATGGCAACCTCCAGTGTCTTAGACAGGGCCTGTCACTCTCTAGAAGTGTTTCAAGAAGTGTGCCTAACTAAACTTGCCCAACCCAGGCTAGGCCTCCACTAGGCGGCCACCTCTCCCACCCTCTTAGCCAGGCTCACCTATGGCACGGAAATTTCAATAGGTGATTGAAGAAATTGGCTCAAACATCTGAATCAGCAACTAGAGAGATGTGTGCATGGGGTGCTGGTGACAGAATCAGTCAGACCCAGGACAAAGGGTTCAGACCTCACCCAGAAGGCTACGGCACCCTCGCCCTCCATGAGCTCTGACTTCTGTTCCACCCGACCCCTTGTCCCTTTCCCAGGTCTGGGAGGCGGTGGAAGCCAGAGCCCTTCCTCACCTCTGGCTAGGTGCTCAGACAGTTTGAGTGTGGGGTATGAGGCAGAAGACAAAGACGGGCCCCACCCCTGCACCAATTAACTACCCTTTTGGGCACTTGGCAGCCCTCTCTGAGCCTGTTTCTGTCCTATAAAATGAAAGAGATGAGATGATACTGTCAGAAGTGATTCAGGCTCAGGTACTGGGAGGAAGAGCCTCCCAACYTGTAACCTGGAGGGTGGGCACCAAAGCCAGCTCGAGGCATTGTGAGATTTTTGAGCCTTATTTTTTCTACTGGTGGGGTCATAGATTGCTGATGCACTTTTTTAAAAGTGAAATTGACAAGGCTGGGGTTGTGGCTCAGTGGTGGAGCGCTTGCCTTGCACGTGTGAGGCACTGGGTTCAATCCTCAGCACCACATATACATAAATGAATAAAATAAATGTCCATCAACAACTAAAAGAAAACTTGTAAAAAAATGTGAAATTGACTATCAGAAGTCTCTTGCATGGGGTCATACCATATCTATGGGGACAAGGACTGCACAGGAAGTTGCTGGTAGGATAGGCGGTCTTCATAGTGGGACTGCACTTACACGTCTCTGTAGGGTTGTTGGTATATTTCAAATAGGCAGAATTTCATGGGGCAGAATTTACTCTGTGGATATTATTCTATATTGGGATATATATATATATATATTTGTTCTGGAATCCAACCCATGACTTTGCACCTGCTAGGCAAATGCTTTCACTAGTCTATACTCCCAGCCCCCTAGAAATACCCATATTAAGGATGTTTTTATATTAGGGATATTTTTCTATGGGAGGGTATAGCCAAAAGGATTGTTTTTATATTGAATCAACTTTTTTTAGAGGTGTTTTTTCCTACTTGGGATGCACCGTTGTCCCTTGTCATACACAGGGAATTGGTTCCAGGAACCTCCCCACTGCCTGCCATGGATATCAAAATCCAAGGATGTTCAAGTCTCTTATATGAAATGGCATAATATTTGCATATTTCTTCTTGTATACCGTAGATTATGGTACTCATGTAATGTAATGTAAATGCCACATAAATAGTTGTTATACCATATTGTTTAGGGAATAATAACAAGGACAAAATAATTTACCAGTTCAGTGGATTTTTTTCCTTAACAGTTTCCATCTGATTGATGTGAATACTAGGACATCGAACCTGCAGGTCCAGAGGGCTGCTGAACCCACCTGGGTACATTTTTTATACTGGAGATTTCTGTACGGAGGTCACTTCTACCCTGGAACATTTCTATACTGGGTTGCAGGAAAGTTTTGGGGGTGCACTTCATCGTGACCACCCGGGCAGTTTATTTGTACTWGGTAAAGTGTGTTGCTCTTAGTAGCTGACTTTGTTTGATTACTGGGGAGGGGACAGCTGTTGCAYACACCCCGTGTGCTTCCTACAGCGCCTCACACTGTACTTTGTCAATAGAAAACAACAACTCACACCTATGCTGGTCTCCGCTGCTTCCTGATGCTGCTCCAGTTATTCTGAGAAGCAGGCAGGTCACAAGTTCCCAGGAGCAGTCACACCTCCCACCTACGGGTGAGGGCCCCGCCTCCCACATCAGCTCCCAGCCCTCTCACCTCTGCCCAGCCCCATGTCAGCATTCCCTGGACCCCTCCAGCTACTTCTGCTAAGATTTCATTCTATGCGCCTAGAGATGCTGTTTGCCCAAGGGCTGCAGTGACCCTCTCTGAACCTACTCCTTTCCTAGAGAGCTCTAAGACTCTCCAGTGGGATGCAGGGGAAGGCAGAAGGCTAAGGGAACCCGAAATGGTATCTTCCTTGGCCTCCTCCCCTGGCCTTCTCCCTGCCCCACCCCCTACTCCCCAGCTACTCACAATGACATTGCAGAGCAGGAGAAACAGAGAGATGTCTTTTAGGCACCGGCTTCTCCAGTGGCCCCGAGGGGCCAAGATGATGGCCCCTGCTTCCTGAGGTCCATCTGAGCTGGGGCTGACCAGCCTGGGGATGGGTGGGCAGGCAGGCAAGGAGTGGAGGGCATCCAGGTTCGCAAAGGTAAGGCCTTGGCAGGGCTCTTTGGGGAGGGTTTCCTGAGGCTCAGCCCCGGGTGGTCCCCGGTGGAGGCTCTCGATGATGAACACATTCTGGAAGGTGTGCTGGGCAATCATGAGCAGAGCGTGGGCCAGGTTCAGTGCCCCYAGCAGGTCTCTGGGCGTGCCCACCACCACAGCCACAATGGAGTAGTAGGAAATGGCGTACTGACCCAGGGCGGCGCCCATCAGCAGGGCCACGTCCAGTGTGCGTGTGGGGTTCTTATGGTGGTCCATGACCCGGCGGTCAAAACGGTAGATGACGGAGCCGCTCAGGCTGACCAAAGTCATGAGCCCCAGACAGACGATGTTGAAGCTGTAGTAGGTGACCAGGGCCTGCTGGGTGCGGCCGCCCTCTCCACTCACTTGGACCTCGTAGATGATGAAGACGGCCAGCCCCACCACGAAGAGCACCAGGCCCAGCATGGGGCCAGCGAAAAATGTCTCTCGGAATAGGCTGACCTGGGAGGGGCTGTGGCCGTGGCCGTGGGGGGAGGCCAGCAGCCGGCCCACGTTCTTCCACATGACGTARAGCATGGTGGAGGCGAAGAGGCTGTACTCGATGTTGAAGGGGTACAGGTAGAAGTACCCCTGCTGGAAGATCTGGCAGATGGTTGTGTCGCAGGGGCAGGGGTCTCCTCCGACGGCGCTGCCTGCACGCTCAGCTGTGGGGAGAGGGACACTGGGCTGGACTGCCCTTCCAACTTTCTGGAGACAACTCACCCCTGGCCTGAGACCATTGTAAGGGCAGGGACTCTCTGCCCATCACCACTGGAGCTCAAAGGACCTGGTGCGTTCATTCATTACGCAACTATTCTTTGAGTACCTACTATGTGCCAGAGGCTGTGAGACACATCGGTGCTCAATTAAAAACACATTTGAACCACAGAACCACCCACTTCACCCCTTTCTAACCCTTTGATCCCTCACCACCTATAATGACCCCTGGCTCCCTAAGATAGTCAAGTTCTGGTCCCCTTAGAGAGTGGCCTTCTTGGGATCCCCTAAAGTCCAGGCATCTGAAAGAAAAGAAGGCCAGCTGCCATGCCCAGGTCTCCACTGTGCCCTTCCACACTGAAAGGAATCTTGCCTCCGTGCCAGCGTGTGCTTTGTAGGATACCTTAGGCCTTGTCAAATACCTCTTTTGGATCCCAGAATCCTCCCAGCTGGATTTTGCAGGTAAAGAAGCTGAGAGTCAATGAGGTCAAGTGACGTGTCCTATTAGGGAGAGCTGGGACAAACTATCTGACTTCCAACACAGGGAAGGTCCTTCTCAGCAGGCCTCTCCTACCCCACAGGTCAACACGTTAAGTTGACCACCCCCRTGGGCTGGTTTTAACTACTCTCAGGATCCTGGGATATGCTGGGTGGCCCTGTATCAGTCCTGCGGCTGGGGCCTCCCTGGGGGTTGGGACCGCTCTCTGTTTCCAGACCCCCCATGGGAGTGTRCACAGGCATTAGTCTCTGGTCTGGTCCTAGCTAGTGGGAGGACCTAAAGAAGCCCAGAGAGCCAAGACCCAGGGACTGTGGGCCCTGTTCTTACTTAGGTAGCACACTGGTTAAAAGACGGCTCTGAGCACTTGGGCCCCAGTGTCAGATTCTGTGACCTTGGGCATCTATTTAACTTCTCTATGCCTTCGTTTCTGCACCTGGAGGAATATTAGTAGTTCCCAACTCCACGGGAAGTTGTGAGGGTTAAATAGAGTGTTTCAGACACTTAGCACTCTGTAGGATATAGAGAGCTCAGGAAATTGTCACTGTGTCATTGTGACAGGATGGTTATTTCTCACCTCCACCTCCTTCCCAGGCTTTCCCCTCTGATCGCAGGTTCTCAGAACCACTCTTTCCCCCTTCCCCTCTCTCCCCAGTTTGATGATCCTTGCCCTTTCTTCTGGGTGGCATGGGACCTGGTAATGGGGACAAGGCTGCATCCTCAAGAATGAGATGCCCTCCATACTCCTCCTCCTCGTCGCCTACACCCACAACACCTAGGAGCCGGAGGAGGCCCTGGCTTTGTCTCCAGGCCCTGTGAGGGCTTGGTTGATTGACTACAGATCCACAAAGCACCTAGCYTCGGGTGGGGTAAAGAGGCCTTGGGGTGGGGTAAAGGGGAACTCACGGTCAGGGGTGAGGCGGGCGTGGCTGGTGTTGCTGTTGCCGTGAGCACTGCTGTAGGAGTGAGCCTGGTGCACAGACTCGTCCACCACGGCTGCCATCCAGATGGCCAGGTTGGTGGTAAGAGTGAACATGAGCCCACACCTGTTTGGGGATTGGAGGGGAAGCAAAGAGGCTGGTGAATATGTGGTTCATCTTGGGTCCCTGGCAAGGTGGAGGGTTGGGAAGCTCTCCTGAGAGGTGGTGTTGAGAAATGAAGGTACAGCCAGGTCCCTGTGAACGGGGAAGCTGAGTTGGAAAGCCACRCTTAGCCTGGCCTGGATGCCAACCAAGGGAAGGCCAAGGGTGTCTTAGGCCCCATGCTCCCCACCCCCCAGGGGAAAGCCCACAGCACAGAGTAGCAGAAACCAGGCTGACGCAGTGGGGGCCCTTGGCTGAGCAGAGGGAGGAGCCATGCCCAGGGGGGAAAGCCCTCATCTCTCATGCCAGGTGAGCACTCCRGGCAGGCGTTGAGCTGCGGTTCTCACCGAGTCAGATCCAAGTGGACATGAATGCAGTCTTTAGCGGAGACCCAGAGGAAGTAAGTCTGTATTGAGAGAGGAGGGAGGATCATTGCTCTGCAGATGGGCTARATCCAGGCTCCCATGTCCAGATTGTTCTCTACCCCAGGAGCCTTACTCTAACTTATCAGGTTTATTGTAGATTTACAAAAAACTGGAAATATTTTCTTTCTACTCTATGGTAAGTTTTGTATACAGGTATTGTCTCTGTTCTTTGAAAGTTTATCTCTGGTTTTGATYTTTTGTTGTGGGTGAGGGGGCAGTGATGGAGAGGCAAATAGATTTTTCACTACCTAATTATTTATTTCTGGGAGTAAGGCCAGCTAAGCTACAACTACATAAATATGTTAAACTGTGGAAACCTGGGTGGCAGAGGTGGTGCCACAGGGGAAGGCACCATCCATGTGATCATTAGGGTCATGTTGCAGGCACGCTGTCTTCTGGTCCTGTGTAAAACTTCCTGCCTCAACTCAATCATATCTTTCAAAATGGTGTTTGTGTAACAAATTTAAAAATTAATTGAAAAAAGAGAGAAATTGAACTTGTTTGAAAAATCCAGTTATAGGATGCCCCACCTCCTGAGCAAATACCCAACATAGCAGCTATGCCCCCCCCCCAAAAAAAAACTGGCTACACTGAGATGGATGCCCTCTATGGGCACCCAAGGAGGACAGGCCAGGTTCTAGCAGATAGGGCTGGTGTCTCTACTCACACCTCTTAGGTGTTAACAATTGGCACTATTTAGGTTAAAATAAAGTTGCAGCACTCCTAAGTAGGAGCTCACATTTAGATATTACCTCATTACACAGTGCATCCACATGCCTGGACTCACGATCTCGGCTACAGTCCTATTCCATTTATTCAATTGCTCAGGGTGGAAGTTAGGGGCAGTTGGAACCCAGGACTCCTGACACTTGCCAGGCATTGGCTCCTTTCYACCACATCCAGGGACACTCCTGCCACCCACCTGGACAATGACAAACACAGCCTGGATGAGGGGGTGCAGGATCTTGATGGCTGACTGGCACTCAAAGAAACTGGAGTAGTAGCCAGTCTTGAAGACATCCATGACAAGAGTGCAGATTCCAAACAGCACCAGGCCACCTGCAAATCAGGGGCAGTGGGTGGTGGTGGTGGTGGATCAGAGAGCCAAGAGAGAAGGCTTCTAGAGTGGAGGAGAGGGCCAGAGCCTGGGTAGCTAGGCCAGTGGGTGCAGTCAGTGGTTGGATGTTTGGGTGGATGGATGGATGAATGCAGAGAATGAGAGGATGGATGAGTGGTCGGGGGAACTGGTGAATGGGCAATGAATGAATGAATGAATGAATGAATGAACAAAGGATGAATGCATGATTAAGTAGGTGGATGAGTGATGTCCTATTGTGCGTCCCTTTCAGGGACTGCAGAGATAAAGAGAAGGGACCTGGACCAGCTCATTCAGCTACCACTGTCTTGTTTCCCCTACTCTCCATCAAGAACTGTGTCGTGTCCACCTCTCTCCAAATCCTAAGACAAGGCAAGGAAGTCCCCCTCCATCCCTCTATTCATCCCTCCTTCAGGTTCCCCTTTCCCTCCCTCCCCTTCTGTGGTAGCTCACCTCATCCTCGGCCACATCCAGTCTTCCGGAGGGAACTTCTCCCCCCTCTGAACACTCTGCAGGTGCTCCAGGAGCCCTGACCTAAAGCTCCCCGCTGTGCCCACTGCACCTCTGTCCCCCCCCCCATTCTCCGCACCTCGGAGCCAGATGGGGCCAGCATGCGTGTCCCGGTAGGGCACAGCGTCCGGGCAACGCACAGTGCGGAGGAGGTAGAAGAGGATCCAGAGGACGGTCAGCAGCATCATGGTGGTGAGCAGCGCGAACACGTCGGTGTCGTACACAGCCACCTTGTTGAAGGCACCCCCGCTGATGAGCGTGCAGGCGAGCAGCAGCACGTTCACCGCCAGCAGCACCGACAGCAGGCGGCCGCCCTTCTTCCACACCTCGCGGGGGCCGGCCTGCGGCGCAGGCGGGATCTCCTTGAGGCCCGGGGTCGGTTCCTCCGACATGGTGGGGGCGATTGCAGGAGGTTGGAGCGGTCACTGCGAGGGAGGGGTCACTGCGAGGGAGGAGTGAAAGGACCCCAGGTCAACCCCGAGAGCTATCCTTTCCTCATCTTATCTCTACATTTGTAGGCCAGTGAGTTCCTAGCCCGTAGGGTGAGGGCTGGAGCGCTGGACACGGGTGTGGGGGGGGCGGGGGAGAAAAATCGGAGCCTGCTCCTCACCCGCTCCCGGAAAAGAGAAAAGCAGCGGTAAATGTTTGGATTCCATTCAAGGTCCCCACTTCCAAATCCCATAGTTGACTGGCCCAGGACACGCACCTGACTGGGCCGGGAGCCCGCGCGGCGTTGGGGGTCAGGTGGCAGCCAGCGTCTCCTTTCTCCCACGCCGGGACGGACGGGTGCTTTATACCCGAGGGGACAGGGTGATTTACAGCAGCAGGAGCTCAGCTCCATAAACCTCTCAGACCCACTCACATGATCCATCTTTTCTGCGAACTGAATTTAGGGAAGAGCGCGGGAGCCAGATAAGGTGAGATTTATATTTACCTACGAAGAACTGCCCTACCCTGTCACCCAGGCACGGCCAGGCTCGGGCGCGGCCTCACATTGAAGCACTCAGAGGGCAACCCTCCCACCAGGTCCGCTGCGATCTGGTGCGCAGCGATCGCGCCCACCCGGAACCCCCATCATGCCCCAAGTGCCTGTCGTTGACACTTTGACACTCTCCTAGYCCAGGCGCATCTTATACCTTTGATCTTGGTTTCGGCCCGAGATCTGGGCACCAGCCCCCTTTTCCCCACCTGCCCACACAGTGATCGAAGTTCCTCCTTCCTCTATCGCTGCCCCGCTCCGCTGCTCCGCGGGATGCTAAGTCTGGGGCTTGGGTACCAAGTTCCCACGCGGCGCGTATTCTGCTTCCAGTCCTCTAGCGCCCTCTGCTGGATGATGGCTGGTCGGCCCCTCTCAAAGGATGGCTTCCAGGACTGCCGCGTCCTACTAGCTGTCTTGCCGAGTGAGTCCTCATATTCCCTTTAGTCCCACTGTCCTGGGTTAAGGTCTGCACCTTCACCCCGTCTTCACCTTCCCTAGCCCTTTGCCCTTTCCTTCGACGGGTAGAGAAATCGGGAGCCGCAGCACTGGAAATGGATGAAGACGGACCCTCAAACTGTCACCAAACTGGGCCTCATGGGTCGGAGCACTGCAGTGGGCACTTTTGGAGTGAGGTCAGGGCCTCACGTGGTTTGCCCTTGTGCGCTGAGAAGCAGGGTGTTTAGGACCCAGGGGAAGCCCGGGGGCGGCTCCCTGGGCAGCGGGAGGTCCCCCACCCTGCCCGCCGCCCTGACGAGCGGCTCAGATGTCTTGGTAGCGGCTCTGGCGCTCCGCACCCTCCATCTGCGGCCGCGGGGGCTGGTGGCCCTGGCCCCTGCCAGGCCCCCTCCCCTGACCCCATGCCTCAACCCTAACCCCTCTGCCCTCCCCCGCGGGGGGCATTTCCCGGTGTCCCCTGCCCGCCCCGTCCAAGCCGGGCGCCATGAACGATCAGTACCACCGGGCTGCCCGCGATGGCTACCTGGAGCTCCTCAAGGAGGCCACCCGGAAGGAGCTGAATGCCCCCGAYGAAGATGGCATGACTCCCACCCTCTGGGCTGCCTACCACGGAAACCTGGAGTCGCTGCGCCTCATCGTGAGCCGCGGGTGAGTAGCCCTCCACCAGGCAGGGGAGGGGAAGAGTCTCCTGGTGCGGGCCAGGCCCAGTGCCTCCCCAGACTCCAAGGCTACTCCTCTGAGCTGCCCTTTTCCCCTATGGACAGACAGCTCTAAGTTGGGACATTGGAGCCTGGCATGTGTGGGGGAGATACCCATGGGGGGGGGGCATAAACTGGGACATGTGACACTGGTGACCTGGATGTGGGGCTAGGAGGGGAGGAACTGGGATTTGAGGGCCCATGGTTGTTGGAAGGGTGCTGCAGAGGGAAAGATGGGAGAGAACTGCTGGGCAGGAACCCCTGGAAGCAAGGGTGAGAGGGAATGTGGGAACCTGAGAGAAGACTAAGGCTCAGAAGGCCGGAAAGTGGGGGCCTTTGCTGCCCACTCTCCATTCTGGGAGCCAAAGGGCTCTCCCAGCCAGCACCCACAGCTCCCCACAGGCTGGGTCTCACCCTTCTCTCTCCCTCACTCTGCTCCTTCTTGGGATTTATGGCCACTGTCCATAATACCAAATGTCAATGGTTCAGCCACCTCATTAATGTGCTCTGTACCCTTCCCCCACTGGTCACAGATGACCAATGAATGTGTTGATCCTGGAGGGGCTTCTGTCTCCCATCCTCCCTCTGGAGTTGTCCTGAGGGGGGGAACATAGTCTGCACACCACAACCAGGCAAGGTAGCAGGGCCCAGGAATGCAGGCTCAAACCCACTGAAGTGGGTTGGCCAGGGATGGGCCAGCGTGCCAAATCCCACAACTGGGAACAATTTCCCCATTCATCAAAGTTGATGACTCTTTTTAAAGAGTTGTGAGTGGGAAAGTTGAAGTCATACTGGCCTAGACACCAGGGTGGCCTGGGCAGGAAAAGGGGCATAAGGGATGGCCCCAGGAAGGTTAATGTGAATGTCTTAGGCCCTGGGGRAGAGGGGTGGGTACTGAGCTGGTCCTGGTTCTGTGCACCAGCCTGAGGCCCAAGCATGTGGTGGGCGGAGGGACCCCATCCCTCTGTGGCTGTTCCTTGGGCCCAGCAGCAGGGGGAAGAGTCCCTGGGATTAGGCAGTTGAGGCATGTTCCAAGTCATAACTTACTGGCTCCTCCTCCCTCCCTGAGGGCACACAGGGACACTGGCCCACTGCCCCTCCTTCAGAGGGGCACCTGGGTGTCTCTTGAAGGGGACCGGAGAGCAAGCAGGCCTACCTCCCCCAAGTCTTACAGAGGGAAAGCCTGGTGCTGGATGGCTTGGGTCTGATGCCCAGCAGCCCCTCCTCTGCTGTCCTGCAGGACTTGGCACTCTGTGGGGAAGCTGAGCAGGGGGGCTGAGGGGAGATGTTGAGACAAGGGAGTGATTCTTCCTCCAGATCTAGGGGTAACCTCGTGGCCTCATTAGTGTGGGCCAGGGGACCCGTGCTAGGCCCCAGAGAGGCAAGAATTCTGGAGGAGCCAACAGGATGCCCCAGGGAGAATAGTCTGACATGGAGGGTGTTGGAAGGAGCTGTTGGGGTCCCTGCACAGGCAAAGCCAGCCAGCCTCTCAGGGCTCCCAAAGATGGACAGCCTGAACAARGGAGGGCAAACCTGCCAGGCTGCAGACCTTCCTCCTCCTCCTCCCCAGTCCTGGCTGCCCCCACAGTCCCCTCCTGGCCCAGGCCAAGGCCCGACACCTTCTCTAACACTCACGTTGCCAGGCCTGGCCCTGCTCCCTGCAGACATGGCAGTACTCTCTGCACACAAGCACACACCCTCACACACTCACCCAGGCTCAGGCCCAGCACACATTACCCTCTTGTCCTCTTTCACCGTCGCCCTGCAACACGCAACCACGTTCCCGGTTGCACCTGCCTAGAGACCCAGACTCGCCCTGGCCCACCACCTCTCTGGGCCAGCTCCCTGCTGGGCCCATGAATAATTCACTCCTTTCTCTCTGGGCATCAAATATTTATCCCCTGAGATTCCCAGCCCTCGGTTGGGGAAGGCCCCGCCCCAGCCCCGCCTTCTCTGTCGCCCCGCCCCCTGCGTGCCAGGCCATCTTCCCCTAGGGCTCATCCTTTTGGTGGCTCAGGCCAGCAGGTCTCTTGGARTCAGTGGAGAGGTCTCAGGCCCACGGGTTTCACTGTGGCCTGGTGTACCTGTGGGGAAGCTCCASGAGGCTGGGGGCCCTCCCTTCGTCGCCTGGGTCCCCCATTCCCTCTACCTCCAGCCCTAGCGAACTGGCTGCCAGAGCTTGCTATGGTTTATCATTCTTCGTGATCTCCCTGCAGGGGTGACCCAGACAAGTGTGACATCTGGGGCAACACACCCCTACATCTGGCAGCTTCCAATGGCCACCTACACTGCCTGTCCTTCCTGGTGTCTTTTGGGGCCAACATCTGGTGCCTGGACAACGACTACCACACGCCGCTGGACATGGCTGCCATGAAAGGTCACATGGAGTGCGTGCGCTATCTGGACTCCATCGCGGCCAAGCAAAGCAGCCTCAACCCCAAGCTGGTGGGCAAGCTGAAGGACAAGGCCTTTCGTGAGGCCGAGCGGCGCATCCGGGAGTGCGCCAAGATGCAGCGCAAGCACCACGAGCGCATGGAGCGGCGCTACCGGCGAGAGCTGGCGGAGCGCTCGGACACGCTCAGCTTCTCCAGCCTCACGTCCAGCACCCTGAGCCGCCGGCTGCAGCACCTGACGCTGGGCAGCCACCTGCCCTACTCGCAGGCCACACTGCACGGCACCGCTAAAGGCAAGACCAAGATCCAGAAGAAGTTGGAGAGACGCAAACATGGCGGCGAGGGCACCTTCAAGGTCTCCGAGGACGGCCGCAAGAGCGTCCGCTCGCTCTCAGGCCTGCAACTAGGTAGCGACGTGATGTTCGTGCGCCAGGGCACCTACGCCAACCCCAAGGAGTGGGGCCGCGCCCCGCTCCGGGACATGTTCCTCTCAGACGAGGACAGCGTCTCCCGTGCCACGCTGGCGGCCGAGCCTGCCCACTCGGAGGTCAGCACCGACTCAGGTCACGATTCCCTGTTTACCCGCCCCGGCCTGGGCACTATGGTGTTCCGCAGAAACTACTTGAGCAGCGGGCTGCACGGGCTGGGCCGCGAGGACGGGGGTCTGGATGGAGCAGGCACCCCGCGGGGTCGGCTGCATAGCTCCCCCAGCCTGGACGATGACAGCCTGGGCAGTGCCAACAGCCTGCAGGACCGCAGCTGCGGGGAGGAGCTGCCCTGGGACGAGCTGGACTTGGGCCTGGACGAGGACCTGGAGCCCGAGACGAGCCCGCTGGAGACCTTCCTGGCCTCCCTGCACATGGAGG